ACCCCTGGCCTTGGTCCTGGCTAGATCTGGGGGGGTTTGGGGGGAGGAACCTGAGGTTAACAACCTAGTGGCCTTATGTCACCCCGTGCCTGAGAATGGCAGTGCCAGGATCTCAAGTCAACTCAGCTTTGACCCAATGAAAAGAGTTTATTATAGAAACATCTGTAGTGGTCATTCAGTCAGCTGTGGTCAGTGACCAAGATAGTCTTTGGTCAAGGTCAGTTGTGGACTGTCGCAGGGAAACAGGGCCAGTCACAGCTGGAGATGCTGCCACCTAATTAGTATTTACACTGTACCTTTGGCCCTCACCTTAAGCTCTCCAGGGCTGTTTCCTCATGGGTTACATAAGGATCTTTGGCCTTGATAGTCTCAAAAAGGCCCCACATTCTAAGATCCCACCCAGCTCTAAGATTCTATGTTCTAAAGCCCAGAAAGGGGCTCTAATATTCTCTATTTTAAGACCTTTTCCAGATCTGCCATTGTGTCTTAACATCTTCCGTCCTAAGGGCCCTCCCAGCTCTGACATTCTCTGTTCTAAGGCACCTCCCAGCTCTGACATTCTCTGTTCTAAGGCACCTCCCAGCTCTGACATTCTCTGTTCTAAGGCACCTCCCAGCTCTGACATCCTATGTTCTAAGGGCCCTCCCAGCTCTGACATCCTATATTCTAAGGCCCTCCCAGCTCTGACATCCTATATTCTAAAGGCCCTACATTTTCTATTCTAAGGCCCCTCCCTGTTCTGACAATCTGTGTTCTAGAGGCCCTCCCAGCTCTGACATTCTGTGTTCTAAGGGCCCTCCCAGCTCTGACATTCTGATGTACATCAATAAGCCTGACCGTTACTGACGAGGACAGATGGGCCAGTAAATTCTGAACTCTGCTCCCAGTAGGGCAGATGGTGGTGTGTAATGTATCCATGCTCTTTCCTCTTCCCCTCTGGTATCCATGGTAGGACACTGGCAGGGTGGCTTCCTGGAGAGAGGGATGGCATGCAATGCTGTCACAGGTACGGATTTCCTCTTCACCAAAAGCTAACTAGGCCCATGTGGAAAAGACTCACTCACTGCCGTGCTCCTGCCAATGAGGTATCTTGACTTAGTGCAGAATATGGACTCAGCCTGGAAAGGAGGCTGCCCAGCACCCCCAGGTCACCACATCCCCTCCCATCTGCTCCATTTTGACTGAGACTCACAGAGCAACAAAGCCAAAGAAATGAATCACAAATGGTAGAATTTCATTGTGTATATGGGGCCAGAGGTGGGTGGGGCGTTTGTAAATGGGTAGAGGTGGGTGTGGTGAGGGAGGAGCCAGCCAGCACTGAATTTGTTAGCCAGAGGACCTTGGCTTGGATCCCAGCAGTGTGACCTTACATTTGTAAATCCCTTCCCCTTTTTCGGTCCAGTGCAAAATGATGAGTCTAGACTGCATGGTGTGTGAAATCCCTTCCAGCCCTCATTCTCTGATCCCTTTGTCTTCTGAAGGTCCTGTCAGCTTAAGCTGCCTTTGCGGCCCTAGGAAGGTATATCTAAGGGTGCCTCTTAAGTGACATCAGGAGCCCAATGCCACAGAACTCCCCCCGCTCCAGAATAACAGGGTCGTTGTAAGGCTCAGATGAGGTATTTGCAATGTGCTCCTCCCAATGCCTGCATAGTAGGTGCTATAATACTACCTATTATTATAATTATATAATAATCATATAACATTTTATAAATAATAATTACACACCATAATTATTATAGCATCCATTTGGTGCTTTAAAGTTTATAAATCACTTTATAAATATTAGTCTCACAATGACCTTAGAAGGTAGGAACGTTTTACTGATGAGGAAACTGAGACAAGCTCTCTGTGCACTATGGCGCCCTCTAGTGGCCTCCAAGCAATTTGACACAGGCGTTCCATTTCTCCAGTTTGCTTACCGGATCAAGTCCTGTGAAAGGCAGGCACCATATCCCAAATGAAATATTCAGAGGGAAAAAAAGAGCCCTAAGAGTAGGAACAAGGAACCATTCTAATATCCATTCAAGGTGACTTTCATTCAAGCTACCCCCCCCCGAAAAGAAAAAAGCTCTGTTGGACCTTTCTGATTTGTCAGCTAAGGGTCCCAGGTTCAGTGAATCCCACTGACAAGGCTCAGGGTATGGCAGGCAGGAGGGAGTCTTACGGTGGCTGAATCCAGACTGCTCCAGGTAGAACTGCAGAATGAGACCTCACCTGCAGACCCAGCCACGCTAGGGGTTGGTTTTGCTGAATTGTACTCATTTGTTACAAGGGAGGGCTTTTATTTGGGAAGTAAAGTGGGAGGAGCTAGAATGATACCAAAAAGCCAAAACAACAATGAATCATTTAAAAATATTCACAAGTCAGCAGGAGGAAGTTCAGAAGAGGAAACAGACATGTGGGCAGTGTGGCCACTCCAGTGTTAAATTTGAAACTATTTACAAACCCAGCTGTGGAGATTCACAGTCTCATGGATTGGAGATTTAGAGGCAGAAGGAACCTCAAAGTTTCCGTAGCTCTACCTTCATCATTTTGCCAATAAGCAAACTGATGCCCAGAGAGGAAAAGTGACTCACCCAGGGTCACACAGGTTAAGAGGTGGGATTCAAACCCACAATCTCTGACTCCAAATTCTGCACTCTTTCCACTGTATCATACTGGTGGTTTCCTTAATATGTAACCCTCTTCTTCTGTCCTTTGTACGGGGAAGTATACATGGTTGTGAATATCTGTCAACTTCATAAAGAATTTTTTTAAAAAAGCCTTTCACTTTAAACACATACATTGTATAATCTATAGCTTGCTGGCATCTGTATTTTTGGCAAGCAAAAGCCTTAATGTTTTATTGTTGAAATCACCAATTGCTGTATAGAACTGAATCTGAAAACCACTCTGGGAGGAAAAAAAAGACTGGACCTTGAGACAGCCAGGTGGATAAAGATCTCTCTCTCTCTCTCTCTCTCTCCACACACATTCTATGTTCTAAGGCTCCTCCCTCACCCCCATGTAGATGTTGTATATGGGGTTAACATAGAATTTAAGATTCGAAAGGCTGTCTTCTCTTTGCTAGGCATTGTACACATGGATTGTTTCTTCTGCTGCCACAAGGGGGTGAAGTAAGGGGGGGGGAGAGGGAGAGAGGAAGAGAGGGAGAAGGAGAGAGAGAGGGGAGAGGAGAGACAGGGACAGACAGAAAGAGAGCACATGAGTCTTGACCTATGCTATAAATAAATAGAATATATAGATGGATGGCTATGTAAGGTAGCTAGCTAGCTTGCCCCCTTCAGGCAGCAGAAGAGACAGCCCATTAGTATAGAGTATATAGCAAAGACTAAAAGAAACCCTTTGAATTTTGAATTGTAGGAAATGCACTCATGCTCCTTGGGGTTTGGCCCGGCCAGTGCCACCTCTTCCCCACTAAACCCAGGACCAGGCAGGAGGGACAAGGGAAAAGACCCGAGGACTCCTTGGCAGAAAGACCTGCTTCACATTGACCTCCCTTAAAGCTGCTCTGGCCTCAGGAGCCCCACAGGCCTCAAGTTCCCTGGTGTGAAGACCCTGGCCCAGAGAAGACTCCCGCTGGGACCCTCCCTCCACAGGAGCAGCGTTCTGTGGAAATACGCCAACATCACGAGCCTGCAGAAGTTTTCACCTGTGCTGCCGGTGACCTTTTCCCTGTTTTATTAATGGTCAAAGTCTCTGCCCCGCCTGGGGCTGGGACAGGGAGGGCCAGACCCTTGGTCCAAAGGCAGGGGCAGGGGGAGCCTCTCTGGCACCCTGAAGCCATGGTCTATAAATGTCTGTTGACTGATGAGAGACGGTTTTAGCTCCAAAGGCATATTCCCTTAGGAGGACTGGGAGGAGGACAGCCAGCATTCACACTGTTTTAAGGTTTGCAAAGTGCTTTTTCAAATATTCTCCCATCTGATCCTCACAACTTTCTGAGGTAGGTAATATTATTGGTGCCATTTTATGGGGATGAATGAGAGGGAAGAACAACAGTTATATACAGCTTACTATGTAGCAGGCACTGTTAAGTGTTTTACAAATATTATTTCATTTGATTACAGATAAGAAAAACTGAGATTGGGGGTGACTATGCTATTATTATCCCCATTTTACCAACGAGGAATGTTCTGAGGCTGTGACTTGCCCAAGGTCACATAGATGGAGCACATCTATGGCAGGATTCAAACCCAGCTCTTATGACATCCAGCCCCATGTCTGTGCACACCCCCAGTGCCACAGGCAATGCTTCAGGCTCTGCCTCTGGGTTCTGGAGCTCACTTGATTTCTTACCCTCATCTTCTCCCTCCAGAGGCTAGGTCAGGGCTCTGCCCTGTCCCTAAGGACCCAAAGAGTGAATCTGGCAGACTTCTTCCAAGATTTGCTCTGGAGACAAGCTAAGCCAGCGACTGCCCAGTACCCCATCTAAAGCCTTCCTTTGGCCTTTAGCTGATGGAAAGCCAATCCGCCGCTTCCTTAAAAACTGCAGGTGAGGCCTCTGGAAGGCTGGCCTCAGAGTGGCAAAGCTTTCTGCGAAGCCCAGTCAACTCTCCTCTTTCCCCCCACCACACAAGAAGTCAGGAGGGTCTCTGGGCGCTCCTTGTATCCCAGCGTGTTACTGGCTTCCCATCTGGAGACCCAGAGCTCCTGGGTCATTGCTGGACAGGACAGAGAGAATGCTGGCTTGGCTGTAATTTCTCAATGAAGGAAGAACTTGACTGTGTCCAGGGGTGGGGGGATCCGAGTGACCCCGGCCTTTCCTTCCCCCAATATGGGGCTGTTTTTGTGCCAAGCCAAGTCAGGTTGAAACCACAGCAGCATCAGCCCTTATCTCCCCGTGAAGGGAGCAGGGCACATCTGTTCCCAGATGCTACCAAATGGGGCACACCTGAGCCTAGCTCCAAATGTCTAGCATCTCCATCTCTAGCTTCCAGTAAAACCCATCCCTCCCCGGCTCTCACGATGCCAAGAAAATGCACTCAGTAGTAACAGTGTTAACTTCACATTGCAAACCAATTTAATGCCACAAATTTCAACTTAAAAAAAATAAAATAAAAAGTGCTTCCCAGGCCAGTGCCAAGAGCGCTTGGGTCCACCCCCACCTCCAAAAAACCCACATCTTTGCTGGCAGACCAAAGCTGCTGGTGGCCCCCGATCCCCTGTGGAGGGTGATGGGAAGGAAGGGAGAGTTGTCTCAGAGCCCCTGGGACCTGGGTCATGGGCAGTCACCAAAGGGCACTGAATGTCAGTATTAGTCTTCCCACCCTGATGGGATGACGGGGCCTCAACATTTGGCCAGTGGAACTAGCTGAGGGATGTCAGCAGTTTCTCATAAAGGTGGCTGATAAGGGGGGTGGAGGGGAAGTGGAATTAACTGGGGCCTCCTACTGGGTAGTGCCACCTCCTCCTTCCCTCTACAGGTAGTGCTATTATGTCAGAAAGGATCAGATCAAAAATGGGGAAAGGAGGCTGGGGGGGGGGGATATGAGGGGAGGGTAAGAGATGGCTCATAAGTATCCCAGCAAACTGGGACCTTCAGACTAGGCGTGCGTCCCATGCACATCTCCTACCACTCCCAAGTGCCTTTTGGGAGTACCAGTCACCTTCCCATCAATCACGCCACAGGCCACATATGTCAGAGGCCTGGACGATCGGTGGTAAGATAGAGACGGCAGGTCTCCCGGGCTGAGTGCCTGTGTCTGGCTGGAGCTGCAGAGCTGACACTTTTCCATGGCATGGACAGCTCCCATCAGGCCCTGGAAACAAGGCAGGCCCCACCTATCAAGGGAACCAAGATCCCTTCCGTTGCTTAGAGGGTCCTGGTCTGCCTAGAATGGGAGGGGAAGTAGCCGGTCACTGGCATAGCTGGTCTGGCCAGTGTTCTGCCAAGCTCCTCCCACAGACAGACGGACAGACAAGGAGACACATACACACACAGAGCCCTGCCCGCTAGGGCGGACGAAGGTATGAGAGCTACCCAGAAGATCAAACAGGCCTCTAGGTCTTGACTGAGTTGGGGCAGGGGTATGGAGGTGGGGGACTGGCCACATTGAGGAAAGTATATCTTTTTCTAAAAGAAAACAAAAAGCCAGGGAAACAAACAGTTTCCCAGCTGAACCAACCCCAGGGAATCTGGGCAAAACATTGAAGCAATTCAAACCTGAAAATCCCAAATAAATACAATAATGACTAAGTGCATCGTGGGCTCTGAAGCCCTGAGGCACACCAAAGCACCATTAACTTGGGTCCGAAGCCCTCTGAGGAGTGGGTTCCCACCAGGAAGGAGCCCCTCGTCCCGGCCTGTGGGCAGGGAGAGAAGCCTTACCTGGGAAGTGATCAGGAGGAAGAAGAACAGTCCTTACTCTGCGTCAGCCTCAAACAGGGCAGGATACAGAGGGGAGGCAACCTGTAGCCTGCCACCCCACGCATGTAACCCCTAAACACCATCCCACAAAACAGCTGCCGCCCCAACTTTGCTGCTACTGGAGTCTGACTCCTTGAGGAAGGGAAGGAAAACCAGAGGGTACTGGGGAGCTAGGGAGGGCCTAAGAGGAAGGACACTCCCCCGACCCTAACCTCCAACCTCCCCAGGCTAACGGCAGCTCTGAGTGCCCAGTGCTAATGAAGAGGTGGAGAGCTGAGGAGGCTTAGTCCCTCAGCAGGTCTCCCAGGTCATAGGATTCAAAGAGGTCGCTGACCCCCTCCCCGCCATCCAGGCCCCACAGGTAGTCCTCCTCATCCAGGGGTGGGGAGAAGGTGACCAGAGGCGAGCCGCTCAGGGACGAGGACAGGAGCTGGTCCTCGGTCTGCTGCAGGAGCGGGTGGGGCAGGTCCAAGAGGCCTTCATTCACCTCCAGCAGGGCCTGGGACGGCTGGGACTTCAGAGCCACAGCTAAGGAGAGAGATCAGTTCATCACACTCCCGGCCCACACGGGACCCTGCTCATCCCCAGGGAGGGGCGCCCCTACAAACAGGCTGGCTGCTAAAATCCTCAAATGCCAGGACTCGAAGGGGCCTCACAAGGGGAGGTCCCAGGGTCCTAGAAGGGACCCCAGAGAGTAATTAGTCCTGAATTTTACCAATAAGGAAAATGAGGCCCAGAGAGGTAGCGTGACTGGCTCAAAACCTCAGAGATAGGAAGAGTCGGGATAATTACAAAGGCAGTGATCTTGGCATATTAGCAATCTCTGATACCCCTGAGTCCAAACCTCATCAGGTGGTGAGCTCCCTGTCACCAGAAGCCTCCAAGCCATGGTTAGTGGGGAGGTTCTTATCCATGTACACTCAGATGGCCTCAGCGGTCCTGTCCAGCTCTGAGATTAGACGATATACCCCTAGAACCTCTTCATTTTACAGATGAGTAAGTTAACCCATCAAAGGCCATTGATTAATTTATTAAGGCCTGGAAAGGACCAAGTCACTTTCCTAGGGATGGGTTAAATCAGCATTTTTTGAGCACCTACTATATAGTAGGCACTGCGTGGAGGGCTTTACAAATATGATCTCCTTTGATTCTCACAACTCTGGGAGGCAGGCATTACTGTGCCCATTTTATACTGGGCAAAACTGAGGAAGACAGGGGTAGCTAGGTGGCTCAGTGGATAGAGTACTAGCCCTGGATTCAGGAGGACCTGAGTTCAAATCCAGACCAGACACATAACACTCACTAGCTGTGTGACTCTGGGCAAGTCACTTAACCCCAATTGCCTCACAAAAACAAAAAACAACCCCCCCCCAAAAAAATAAAAACTTGAGAAAGATAAGTTAAGTGACTTGCCCAAGGTCACACAGCACTAGTACCTGAGGTCCTGTCTGAACTCTGGTCTTTCTCGAACTCTGTGCTCTGTGTACTATGGCGCCACCTGGTGGTTGATGTCACACTTGCCTAATATCACACAGAAGAGCTCCTGCTCTAGGGGCGGTGGGGGGAGGAAGGTGGAAGGGAGAGAGGTCCAAAGCCCTCTCCACTCTGCCTTACACTCTGTATGTGGATAAACAAAGGGAATCATGGGAAAGGACCCTCCCATTCCCCCCAAAATACTCCCCCCTCTCACTATGACCAACTGTCCCAAGGATGCCTAACCTACTTTTAAGGAGAAAAACTGAGGTTTCTCATTGGTGGGTTCCCCCTCCACTCCTAGAAGATTAAACAAATCCTCCTTAAGAGGCAAGCTAGTAAAGGCTTTAGGGTTTTCCCTTTCTAACAGGGGGCTCTGGAAGACCAAAAAGGGCTTTACCTTCCAAAGGAATGACTTTCTAATGGTAGAATGTCAGGCAGTGTGGCAGGCGTTCTAGAAGGAAGGATTTCGGGAGGTGAGGCCTTGCCAGCGCTCCTCCATCTCTCCATCAGCTCTGGCCTGCCTGGAAGGGCTTTGGGTAGGCCAGGTGCTCCCTCAAGCCAGCCCTAAACCTCTCACCCTGGGTGGCACCACCTCCCTGCCCAAACTCAGAGGCCCCCACCCTGACAGGGAGCTCAGTAGGTTAAAGGCTCCACCCCACCCTGGCTAAGGTACAGGAGGAAGAGCAGGGTGGGGCCCAGGCCTAGGCCAAAGAGATAGGAACTGGGCTGGAGGCCAGGGGAATTAAGCAGGAAAACGGGGCCCTGCCTCCCACACGTTCCCAGGGGATTGTGAGTCGTGAGAGGGACGTGGGGTAAAAGGTATCAGACTGGGAAACTCGAAGACTTTTTATGGCACCTCTGCGAACCTCGGTCTCCTCATCTGTAAAATGAGGATAATAATTCTGACCCCAGTAGGTTTCGAGGAGCTAATGAGATAATGGATGTGAAAGCCCACTAGAAGCCATCAGGTCTGACTCAAATACTGATGTTATCATCACCCCAGTATCAAGGCCTGCGGGGCTGTGACTTTATTTCATAGTCTTATCACTTGGAGGGGTGAGCATCTGGGGGGGGGCGCGCAGAGATGGACAAACGACACAGCCCCCACCTCCTCCTCTCCAGGGCAGAGATGGAAAATCTATCCACCTGTCTAGATATCAGCACTAAGAACCATGGCAGGAGGAAGCCGGGGAAATTCAGAGGTTTTCGAGGTCACATTCAAACCCCACCTCGTTCAGGAAGTCACCCCTGATCACCCATCACTCCCACCTTGACACTCCCGTAGGTCTTAGTCTGTGAAAGGGTACATAGGACAGGCAGGTGAGCGGTGCCAGAATGAAGAGGGCTGGACCAAGACACAGGACAGACCCGAGCTCCAGTCCGGGCACACATACTCCTGGCTGGCTGTGACCCTGCACAAAACACTGAACCGCATTCAGCTTCTGTTTCCTCATCTTTGAAACGGGGACGTTAACAGCACCTCTGTCCCAGGACTTGTGAGGATCAAATGAAATGATACACGTGGAGCACTTTGTAAACCTTAGCACGCTAGACAAATCATAGTTATGATTCTTATTGCCAATGCCATGCGCACAGTGCTCATTCAGTGAAACAGGCAGTATGAGTCATCTTTACATGCACCGAAGAGGCAGTTGGGGTACAAGGACCCACGGGGCTCGGGGCCAAGAACTGGCTGTCACCAAGGAGCAGCATGACCTGGGGAAAATCACTCACTCAGCCTGAGAGTTCTACTCTGTAATGGGAGACTGACCCTTCTGGGTTCTAAGGGCCCTCCCAGCTCTGACATCCTATGTTCTGAGAGCCCTCCCAGCTCTGACATCCTGTGTTCTAAGGGCCCTCCCACCTTGGCATCCTGTGTTCTAAGGGCCCTCCCAGCTCTGACATCCTATGTTCTGAGAGCCCTCCCAGCTCTGGCATCCTATGTTCTAAGGGCCCTCCCAGCTCTGGCATCCTGGGTTCTAAGGGTCTTCTGTGTTCAGCCTTCCCACCAAATCTATGATTCAGTGATTGCTCTCAGACTAAGCTTCTCCACATCTCCTCCTGAGACTCAAAATGTCCTATACAAAGAATGTGATCAATGAATCCTCTTTGATGATTCTTGTCATAGTAAAATTAAAGATAGTCTGAGCTAAAGGAACTTTTTGGGGAGCTTCAAGGGTCTAGAGTCCCAGGGTGGGGTGATGGACTTGTGCCCTCCTCTACTCCCAGCATGAGAGGAAGAGACCACAATTCTGGCTCAGCACCTACCTGGGGGTGCAATGAGATCCGGGCCACAAGAGCTGCTAGGGCTGCTGGACAGGCCCGTGAAGGGGCCTGGGCCAGAGCGGGCAGCCTCCTGGGAGGGACTGCCTGCCTCCCGACTCTCCTCCGGGCACAGGTACACTTCGATGGGTCCATTGGTACTCTTCAAATAAATCTGGAGGTTGTCCTGGGAGACAAGAGAGGGGGGAGCATCTTCAGGGCAGGTTTGCTGGTATAGAGGAAGCTGGGGATCATCTGAGGGCCTCTGTCTGAACCCATGATCTGCCCCTCAACGACCACTTCCCCAACACACACACACACACACACACACACACACAACACACACACACACACAGTAGGTGCACACACACATATACACACAGTAGGCACGTATTCAGCAGCACAGAAAAAACACCAGCATGGAAGTCTGGAGATACTACAGTCTGCCATTAGCTGATTATGGAGCCCCTGGGTAAGTCATTCTTTTATAATAGCTCACATTCCTGTGAGCCTTTAAGGTTAGCAATGTGCCCTAGAGACATGATCTCATTTGATTCTCACAATAACAGGTGGAGAAGGGGCTATTATCACCATTTTACAGATGAGGAAACTGAGGCAGGCAGAAGTTAAGCACTTGTTGCAGGGGGAGGGGTCATAGCTAGAAAGTGTATGATGTAGAATCTGAAGCCAGGTCTTCCTGATTCCAAGTCTCCCACTCTTATCTATTTTGCCATGCTGTGTTAGAAAGCTTCACATGTTGGAAAGCTTTCCTCATCCTAACTGAATAGAACAAAAGCAATTCTCATGGAATAAGCAATTGATTATCTGGAATTAAGTACTGAATCACTGGTTTGCCTGCCTGAGTACCTCACACTGATGGGGACCTTGCTCTTTGTACAATTCATGATCTCACTTTGCGCTTTTCTGAGTAATCCTAGATTTATGCTTGTTTGTTTGTCTTCCACACCACATGGTTCATTCTCCTGCCCATTCCTGAGGTGGATGGGAGGGTGGGGGGAAGAAAGAAAGCTTCGAAAGACACTTCTAGCTCTAAGACCCTCCCAGCTCTGACATCCTGTGTCCTAAGGGCCCTTCCAGCTGACATGTATGTTCTAAAACTGTCTTAATGTCCCACTCACCACTATCACTCTACTTCCTCAGGTTTCAGCTCTGACTGCCTGCCCCATGAAACACTGCATGAGAGCTCCCTGGCCTGCTAGTGACTGCAGTGCATGCAGGTGCCCAGGCAGCCTGGATGGTACCCTGGATGACTGATCCCCTGGGGGGTAAAGCTCCCTAAATCCTGGATTTCTAGCAGAACAGAAGAGTTACCCCTCACCTCCCTCAGGTCGGGGACTTCCAGGCGAGTCTCAGGAGGGGCCTTGACGGCAATCACCGTCTGGTCCTTGAAATTTCCTATAGCCCGGATGTCCTGGTAGGTTACATAGGCCAATGTGGAAGCCAGGTTAAGGGAAAAGGAGTCTGGTCAGGTCCAAGCTCCTCAGTCTGGTTGTCAGGGCCCCTTCCCTACTACTCCTTGACCAGAACTCAGTGAATCTAGTTCAAGGGTAGAGAACTTTCGGCCTTGAGGCCACATGCGGCCGTCTAGGTCCTCTAGTGCAGCCCTTTGACTGAATCCAGTGAAATCCAGACCAAGGTTCCCCACCCTGATCTAGTCATTTCCCATCAGCACTTTATGTACCTCCCCACCCCCACATCTTTGCTCACAACATTCCTCTGCCTAGAGTGCCTTCTGTACTGGTAACCTTCATCTACTGAAATTCTAGACTTCTGGGGTCTCAAGCTCACTCCCAGTAGGAGTCCCCCTTTCCCTGCCCCGATGCCCATGTCCCAGGCCCCTCCTCAAAAGAAGGATATCTCTGGTTGGTCTCGTCCTCCGTGAGGTTCTTCAGATCCAAGGTGCAGTTCTGAATCAGCTGGTCCAAGGCCCGCTCCATGTTGCTGAGCTCCTTCAGTTCTTGGCCCAGGGTCTGCTGCTTGCGGGGCCCAACTGGGTCTTCAAACATTCCCCTGCCTCTGGGAATAGAGAGGCCCCACACCCTCACTCTTAGCTCCTGGGCAGGCCTGGCCTCAGCATCCGTGGGCCTTGAAACTGGAGGGTAGGGGAGCCAGAGGGCTGGCTGCCAAGCCTGGCCCAATCCAGATTTACACGCTTAATGTTTGAAGGAAATGAGTGCAAAAATCACTTCATTGCCTCACTCCATCAACGAGCATTAAGCACCTACTAGGTGCCAGAGCAAAGCAGTGCCTGCCCTCAGTGAGCTTACACTCTATCACAGGGATGCCTGTGGGGAGCTCTGGAGGGAGTTTTCTGAACCTGGTTTCCAGGAATGGGGGGCCAGGGCAGCCTGCTGTGACCGCCCAGAGCTCCAGGGAGCACAGTGACAGCTGCCTCCCCCCGTCCTAACAAAGGGGCTGGATTCACCCCTCAGCATCCCTGTTCCCCCAGCTCAGCTCCTAGGGGGCCTGGGGTCCCCGCCTTCAGGCCAGGACAGGCCCACCCTCCTCCTCCCCCTCCCCGGGGGACCCTGTGGCTCTCCCAGGCCGCCCTGCCACTTACACCCACTGAATGTTGTTCTTGGCCTTCTTGCGGATGAGCTGAATGCCCTCTAACACGTTGGTGATGTCATAGATGCGCCGCTTCTGGACTTCCAGCACCTCGGCCGCCCAGTTCAGGTCCAGGACCCCATCCTCCGACTCGCTCAGCAGGTAAATGAACTTCTTGGTGAGTAGCCCCAGCGATGTGTCATACCTTGTTTTCTCACCTGGGGACTTGGGGGCTGATGAAGAGGGAGAAAAGAAGGTAAAGACCCACTTAGAGAATTCTAGCTCTCATTTCTTTACTTTAATTTTATGAAACCCCTACCTAACCATTTCCTAGCTGTGTGACCCTGGGTAAGTCCCTTCACCCCTGCCTGCCTCAGTTTCCTTATCTGTAAAATAAGAGAGAATAGCCCCAACCTCCCAGGGTGGTTGTGAGGATCAAAGGAGGTAATCATTGCAAAGTGCTTAGCACAGTACTTGACACATAGTAGGTGCTTTAAAAAAATGCTTACTCCTTTCTTGATATGTCTTTTTAAATCCTCTTTGCCTCCAGATATATGCACCACACTCCCCCCCAACCCCGCCAAAAGCAGGGTAATGAAGAGTAAAGAGTAAAGAAAAAAGTCAGTGACCCAGCAATAGCACTTCTGGGGCTATATCCCAAAGAGATCACACAAATGGGAAAAGGACCCACATGTACAAAAATATTCATAGCAGCTCTTTTTGTGGTGGCAAAGAATTGGAAATTGAGAGGATGCCCATCCATTGGGGAATGGCTGAGCAAGTTGTGGTATATGAATGTAATGGAATACTATTGTGCTGTAAGAAATGATGAACAGGCTGACTTCAGAAAAACCTGGAAAGACTTATATGGTCTGATGCTGAGTGAAGTGAGCAGAACCAAGAGGACTTTGTACACAATAACAGCCACATTATGCGATGACTAATATTGTTAAACTGAACCCTCCTCAGCATTACGAGGATTGAAGACATCTCCAGAGGCCTCGGGATGGAAAATGCTGTCCACATCCAAAGAAAGAACTATGGAAGTCGAATCGCTCTCACTTATTTTTACCTTCTGTTGAGTTTTGTTTCCTCTTTCTGATGGTTCCTCCTATTGGTTTAATTTTTACTTACAACTTCACTAATGTAAAAATATGTTTAATAGGAATGTAAATGTAAAGCCTACATCAGATTGTGCGCTGTCTTGGGGAGGGTGGGGGGGAGAAAAATTTTCAACTCAAAAGCATATGGAAGTGATTGTTGATAAATCAAAATAAATTAATAAAATTAAAAAGAAAAAAGTCAGTGAAATGAACAACAGATACAACGTTCTGTACTCACTGTCCCCCACCTCTATGAAAGAAGGGGTGCTAAGAGTAGCTAGATGGAGCAGTGGATAAAGCTCTGGCCTTGGAGTCAGAGGGACCTGAGTTCAAATCTGGCCTCAGACACCTGACACTTACTAGCTGTGTGACCCTGGGCAAGTCACTTAACCCCAATTGCCTCACCAAAAACAAAAAAAAAAAGAAAAAAGGAAGAGGTGCTAGCTTGGTCTCAATTGTTTTTCGTTCTTTCAACTTACATCATTGTCATCATTTATGTGTCATTTTCCTGGTTCTGCTGACTTCTTATTCGTTCCCGGCCCCCTTAATCCTAGCGCCTCCGCTCTTAGACAAGCTCCAATTTCTCCCGTCTGCAGCTTGTTCATCAATAGGTGTCTCCCCATTAGATTGGGAGCTTCTGAAGCGCAGGGTCTCCAACTACTAAATCCAGCATTCCGTCAAAGGACCGTACTCGAGGACCTAGAGGGCCACACTGGATTCAGTCAAAGGGCCGCACTCGAGGACCTAGAGGGAGGCCATAGGTTCTCCACCCCTGGCTAGCTTTTGCCTTTCATCTTATCCCTAGGGCTTGGCATATAGTAGGTGACTAATGGATACTGACTGACTGATTTCACTTCCAATCAATCAACAAGCATTTATTAAGCACCTATAATGTCACTTTGCATCAATTGAAATAAATCTTATCCTAACTCCCATTTTTACAGATTGTAAGTTTTACAAAAGGCTTGCTTGACCCTGAGGGATAAATAGTCTAAGCATCAGCCCTAATTTATAGAGGAAGAAACATGGGTTCTACAAATCAACTTCACAAATGTAGGATGGGGGGAGCCACAACTAGACAGCAGTTGTTCTGAAAAAGATCTGGAGGTTGTAGTGGAACACAAGCTTACCTATGATTTAGCAGCTAATGCTGCATTACTAGAGGTCTGGTTTCCAGGAATAGGGAAGTGATAGCATCTATCACTGTACTCAGACTCTGCCAGAGCTCTTCTGGATCATGTCAAGTCAACAAGAATTTATTGAGTATCTGCTATGTGCCAGGCACTTTGCTAAGGACTGGGGATATTTATTGTTCTTATTCAGTCATGTGTGACTCTTCACGACCCCATTTGGAGTTTTCTTGACAAAGATGCTGGATCGATTTGCCATTTCCTTCTCCAACTCATCTGACAGATGAGGAAACTGAGGCAAACAGGGTGAAAAGTGACTTGCTCAAGGTCACACAGCTAGTAAGTGTCTGAGGCTGGATTTGAACTCAGGAAGATGAGTCTTCCTGACTCCAAGCCTGGCGCTCTATGCACTATGGCACCCCCTTGCTGCACAAGGACTGGGGATGTGACGAAAAGCTATAAAACTGTCCCTGGCCAATCCAGGAATTTAGAGACTAACATGGGTGATAACACACAAACAACCTGAAGTCAGGAAGAGCCGAGTTCAAGGCTGGTCTCACATACTTACTAGCTGAGTGAGCCACTTTAACCCCTCTCAGCCTCAGTTTCCCCATCCATCAAATGGGGATAATAACAGCACCTACCTCCTCCCAGGGTTGTTGTGAGGATCAGATGAGCTAAGTGCTAGTTATTATTAACCCTGCACACACAGGATATATACAGGATAACACTGAGATAATAACCAAGGGAAAACAGGAGCCCTCAGGGGAATCAGGAAAAAGCTTTGCATAGAAGGCTGACTTTAGGGAGAACTTGAAGGAAGGGCATTCCACGCATGGGGCACAGCCAGAGAAAATGCCCGGCATCTGGAGATGGCAGTGTCTTGACACCAATATTATGGGATGGAACCATATCAAGACGGGATGAGATGGGAAGACTAGGGAGATTAGAAGGAGCCAGGGTTGTAAAGGGCTTTCAAAGCCAGAGAGAAGATGGAAGTGGTCAGAGGTGGTGGCGTGGTCAGACCTGCATGTGAGGAAGATGACTTTGGCCCTGAGTGGAGGAGGGGCCTAGAGTGTCTGGGAGAGATTGGAGGCAGGAAGACAGACCAACCAGCAGGATCTGGCCGTCGTCCAGGTCTGGGCACCACTATTTGGCACTGATAAGCTGCAGGGTATCCAGGAGGCCAGACAGGATGGTGAGGAACTGTCAGCCCATGTCACCTGAGGAAGAGCAGCAGAAGGGACTGGGCATGCTGGGAGAGGAGACTCCTCAGAGGGAGACAAGGACATTTAGTCAATGTCAGGAAAGACTTCCCAACAAGCAGGGGATCCAGAGGTGGAAAGGGGTGCCTCGGGAGACGGTGGCACTTATACTATTATGCAAAAGATTTGAATGGGGAGAGGGTCTAAGCTAGCCTAGGTAGTCCCTTCTGGCGGTAAAAATTCTGTGATTCTCAGTTTTACAACCTCCTTTATATAGTATTTATTATTAATTTTATTGTTAATAAAATTAACTATAATATTATTTAGTATTCTAAACCTCCTTTGAATATATTTAGGTTATATTAATTATTAATACTAATTATGTAAGCACTAAGTATTAGTTATTAATAAAATTCATTATTAATATTATTTCTCATTAAATCTTCTTTAAATGTATTTATATTAACTATTAATATTATAAACAATAAATTAGTTATTAACAAAATCCACTATTGATATCATTTCTTAAATCTTCTTTAAATAGATTTATATTAACTATTAATAATATAAATAATAACTATTAATCATTACTAAATTCATTAATATCATTTCTTGTTAAACCTTCTTTAAATATACTTATATACTATGTTCATCATCAATGTTAATTATATAAAGTGTATAAAGAATAAATGTTAATTATTAATAAAATCAGTTATTAATATTTATTATTAATTTGTTAAACCTCCTTTTTAAATAAAACTGAAAATAATTTTAATTTCCTGCCTCACTTACTAGCTATGTGATCCCAGGCAAGTCAGTAAACCTCCCTCAGCCTCAGTTTCTGCATCTGTAAAATGGGGATAGTCATGGCACCTACTTTTCAGAGTTGTTATGAGGATCAAAATAAGTTAAAACATGGAAGGCACTTTGTAGACCTATATAAATGCTAGCCATTATTGCTATTTTCTCCAAGGTCCTTTCGAGATTCCAGGGAAAATACCCTCGGAAAGGTGGTTGATAGTTGGACAAAAGGTTTTTTACAGAGGAATGGATTAAGGATGATACCTGTTGACAGTGCAACTCAGGTCCAATATCTGATACCTTGAGACAGTCTAATACCTTAAAGACAGAATTAACTCTGTAAGATTTAAGAATAACTCCAGTCCAGTTCATGTGCCTGCCCGAAGGGATTGGTGCTATGCCCCACACTGCTGCACTGAGAAAGGATTAAAGTATCCATAGACTGAAGGCCCCTTTGTTTAATCCCCAGAGTGAAGGGAGTGGTGCAGGAGGAATGGAAGGGGAACTCAGTCGTTCAACTCTGGAAAGGTAAGCCAGCCTCCCCTGGTTGAGGATTCCTGTCAGTGTAAACTATTTTGGAATACAGTCATTTCAGAGGACACAAGGGACTACGACAGTTGGGAACTTCTCTCTCCAAGCTCAAAGTGGATTTAATGTTAAAATGAATAAAATTGTTCCCAGCAGATCCGAGACTAACGCCAAGAGTACTGTAGTTGTATTCGTCAGGTTTTTTCTTTGCAGTAAGGTTCTTCCTATGCCTGGTGGCTTGCCCTTTTTAGGATAGAGTAATGGAGGTTTAATTGAAGTGACCTCACCAAATCATACAGGCTGGGCTTTTGACTCTCCATAATGCCACACGATATCTCAGGGAAGATCTCACTGTGAGTTGGCCTACTTTGGGGTCAGGGAAGCTACTTGAAACCAAATTCTTGGGAACTCAGAATTATGAGATCTGAGAGTGTGTGGAATGAACGAGAAGAAGGATGGATTGAGGGACATTTTTAAAGAAACAAAACCAAGCAGAAACTCAGAGTAAGCTACTTGTGCTTCAAGACATAAAGGATTGGTGACTTCACCAGTGTGGGTAATAATAATTCCTGGCTATATAGCACTTCATTTGTAAAACACTTTCCTCTTCAGTACCTTGTGAGGAAGGTAGTACAGGTGTTGATGTACCCATTTTCCAGAGGAAGAAACTGAGGCTGAGAGAAGCTAAGTGACTCGTCTATTATGGTCATATAGCTAGGAAGCTTCAGAACCCATGTCTTCCTGAGCCCACAGGCAATGTTCTAATCCACATCATGCTGAATCACCAAGATATCCCTCTGTAGCTTTGCTGACGCTCTTTGAAACTTGCAGTGGCCAAAGAAAATGATGTCCCGGCATCCCACACGGCACAATGAGCCCTTCCCTCACTCAGTGCTCGGAGAACAGACGTCATGGGTCTCAGGGCAATCTACCACTGGGCCCAAACCAGAAGCCAAGGTCACCTCCAGAGCACCGTGCAATGTCCAAGGCAATGAGTTCTAAGATGTCTCCCAGCTCTAACCTTCTGTGTCCTAAGGCCCCTCCCAGCTCTGCCATTCTAGGTTCTAAGATTATTTCACAGCTCTGACATTCTGTGTCCTAAGGCCCCTCCCAGCTCTGACATTCTAGGTTCTAAGATTATTTCACAGCTGTGACATTCTGTGTCCTAAGGCCCCTCCCAGCTCTGCCATTCTAGGTTCTAAGGCCACTCCCAGTTCTGACATTCTATGTTCTAAGGCCCCTCCCAGCTCTGCCATTCTAGGTTCTAAGATTATTTCACAGCTCTGACATTCTGTGTTCTAGGGCCCCTCCCAGTTCTGACATTCTATGTCCTAAGGCCTCTCCCAATTCTGACATTCCATGTTCTAAGTGCCCTCCCAGCTCTGACATTCTTTGTTCTAAGATTATTTCACAGCTCTGACATTCTGGGTTCTAAGGGCCCTCTCATCTTTGACATTCTCTGTTCTATGCTTTCGATCCCTGAGAGCAAGGACTCAGGCCCACAATGAGCTAGGCACAGAGCAGGGATTTAGGAAAGCCATGCTCACACATCTTGTTTTCCCAGCCACTGGCCCCCTGGCCCATCCCCTTTCTGTTGTGCTCCAGAGCACTCACTCTTGGGGCTCGGGAGGCCTTCTCCTCTGCTGCACTTCCCCTTGGGTGTCCGGAACTCAGAGAGTCCCTGCCGTCCCATCCCCTCCAGATCCAATTTCCTCTTGGCCTTGAAACCCTAAAAACCAAAAGAGGGAAATCAATAGAACATGGAAACAGAGCCAGCCCCTCCCAGTCCCCAGGCCCTCTTTCCTAGTGCCAGGACACTGAAGCCACATCAGTGCCTCAGTTTCCCTGTCTCTCGCAGGGAACCTCCAGGACTCTAAAGGGTAAGCCTTGAAATCCCCAGAGGGTACACTCCCACCTTCTGAGTTTTGACCTGGAAGGGATCCAGCCAAGGATTCCTGGCTCGTCCTAAGGAGGCCCTGACTGTGGCCCCTGCTCCAGGGGAGAGAAGTTTGGGAAAGGGCTCAAGCACAGGCCGGGGGCAGAGTAGAGAAGGCTTTCATAACAACCACATAATCAGTCATACAATGTTAAAACCAACCGAGTCAGCTGTCGGACTGAACCTTGGGAAATGATTTCTTCATTCACACAGTAAGAAGCAGAAACCCAGAGCAGGCAAGTGACTGGCCCGAGGTCACACAGCAGAGTGTTGGAGCCGGGACCGGACTGTCCTGCACAGCCTACCTCAAGTGGTTGCAGCAGTATTATAGACATGAGGGTTCCCCCCCCCTTTTTGAACAATCTGCTTACTGTGTGTGAACTGCAATTTCCCTAAGGTCAGGTACAAGGCTGTTATTCATCTCTGCACCCCCTACCGGGGCTGGGGGGGAGGGGCAGGGAAGGAGCATGGGGTTTATAACTGTTTGTAGGATGTCTAGGCCAGTACCCTGGGCCCACTGCCTATCTCCAGGGGCCAGTAGGGGAGGGCGGGCCAGGGTGGGGTGGGGCTGGAGAGCAGCCTCCCAGCTGGTCCTTATCAGGGTAAAGCTTCCCCCCCCAAGCCCCTCCCTTAGCAGGGCTTCCTGGCCCCCTGCCACCTGCTCAGAGCACAAGCTGAGCAGCCACAGGGCACCAGGAGCTCGGGGCCAAAGCCTTGTGAAGGGTGGGGGCTGCCATGGCGCCCCAGAGCCCAAGGGGATCCAAGAGGGTCAGTGCCTCTCTCCCTCCCTCCATTCATCCATCCAAGCCGGCCTTCTAGACAAGCAGTGGAGGAATCCCCTACCCCAGCCCATCCTTTCTCCACCCATCCTCCCCAGGCTTGGGAAACACCTGCTGGGGAAATCAGACCAGGGCCACATCTGCTCTGCGGGGCCCGGCCCTGGGGCCCCAGAAACCACAGCCAATCACAGGGGAGGGGAGTCTCCTGCTCATGGGGGGATGGGGCACCTGGACTTTAGGGCCAGGATAAATAAACAACAACAGCACGGAGCCTAGATCGCACAGGCAGGTGGGCGGCTCAGGACTGTCCCTACCCGGGTGACCTCATACAAGTAATTCACACCTGGTGCTCCAAGACTCTTAAGTTACAGAAGAACAGTCTCTCAATGAAATCACGTGTCTAAATTCAAACAACAGATCCCGTTTGTATGGCACTACAAGGACTTGCCTTGCAAAAACCCAACAAGGGAAGGCGTACAAATATTATGCCCGTTTTACAGATGAGGAAGCTGAGGCCTAGAGAGTGGAAGTGACTAAGCAGGTGGCTAGAACACAACAGAGCAGGGCCTCAAACTTCTGTCTCCAAGACCCCCTTTCCCCTCTACCACTAAAAAAGCATCTAACTTCTTTCCAGCCACTCATCCATTGTGCTCTGGGTCTACCAAAAGGCTCTTAACTCTGAGATTTTCAAGGAAGGGCAAACTGAATTTTTAAAAAGGGGGGGGGAAGGAGGGAAGGTGCCTGAGGCCCAGGAGAGAGAGAAGAAAGTCCAAGGATAAGAGAAGGAGGCAAGGGGCCAGCAAGGGCAAAGGTCCAGGCCCTTGAGGGGGGGCCCCCAGAGACCTGGGTCTTATCCCTGGTTCTAGCTCTGAGCATCTGTATCTGGGATGCAGATTGGACAAGACCAGGAGCTCTTAATATTTTTTGGGTCATGGGCCCCTAAGGAAGGCTGGTGAAGCCTATGAACCCCTTTTATGAATGATGCTTTTAAATGAATAAATAAAAATCCATAGGACTAAAAAGGAAACAAATTCTATTAAAATGCAGTCATTAAAATACATGTTAAAAAATAGAAAACAAGTTCACAAACACCACTCTCCTTAATCTATCTATGGATACCAGGTTAAAAGAACTCCCAGACTAATTACATCTCTTAAAAGTCCTTCCCAGCCCCGACATTGTGTTCTAGAGGTCCTCCCAGCTCTGACCTTCTGTGTTCTAAAGGCCCTCCCAACTCTGACCTTCTGTGTTCTAGGGGCCCTCCCAGCTCTGACATTCCATGTTCTAAAGTTCCTTTCATTCCTGACGTTCTTCGATTGATTCTAAGGACCCTGCACCACAAGCTCGTCTGACAAGAGCAAAAGGACCCTGGAGCAAGGACTCCCCACTGCTTCAGAGGGGAGCGGCCAGCTCTATGGCCCTAGACCCAGAAGACCCAGCTGATGCCATACAGGAGGCAAAGGCAGTAGGAGAGGACAAAATGGTCTCCATTTCTACCTAACCGCCTGTGAATACAGAGCTCTCAGCTCTAGGAACCCCAAGTGAGTCAGAAAAAAACCAGCCAGGAGGAGAAATGGACAAATCCATTCCACACCACCTGTAAGTGCCCATCCCTATACTCACCCATTCCTATCCCCTCCTGCCCCCCACTACCAACGTGGCACTATCCCCCCCCTTCCAGTCATTTCCCCCTCCCCTCCATACCTCAGTAAAACCCAGCTGCTCAGGCCCAGCCCCCTGCAGCTGCAGCAGTTCCAGGGATACAGGCCTTTAGAGGCCCCAAAGGGCTTTCACATCCCCAACAGATAAAAGAGGAACGGTCATTTGCATTACAGAAGAGTTTTTGATTCACAAAAAGGTTCATAGACAGTTAAAGCAGAGCCTCCAGACCTAGGAAGCCAGAAGCCTCTAGTTCTGGTCTTTGACTCAATTAATGACCTGGCCCGAGTTAGATCGTCTGGCTGCAACTAAGGGAACAGACTGGGAAGACTCTTTAAGCCACGATACTGATGGTAGCTAGTATTACCCGGGGTCTAATTCAAGCCACATTTTACAGATGGAGAAAACCAGAGCCCACGGAGGTTCAGAGGTTAGCTCAAAGTCGCCGCAGGTGACAAAGTGCAGAGCCAGATTTTGGCCTTAGGTGCCCCGTCTCCAAAGAGGGTGCCTGTTCCCACTAAATTCTACCACCTAGAATCTCTTTTGGGCCTTAGGGCATTTGACTGGCCCCCGAGGTCCTTCCTAGCCTAACCATCCCTAGCTCCCCAGGCTCCCACCAGTTTCCATATTCTATGATCCTATTATTCTCTATCACAGATTCACTGAATTTAAAACACTAGTTATACATATTCATGGTTCAAGTAATTTCATTAAGTATTCATTAATACCTTAGTGTTAAGGAGCTGAGCTGAGCTGACCCTTGGGGAATGACTACTAGACCACAGAATAAACTTAGACCAGGGGTGGGGAACCTTTGACCTCGAGGCCACACATGACCCTCTGGGTCCTACTTTCAGCCCTTTCACTGAATCCAAATTTCACATAATAAATACCCTTAATAAAAGGATTTGTTCTGTAAAACTTGGACTCAGTCAAAAGGCTGTACCCAAGGATCTAGAAGGCCACATGTGGCCCCAAGGCCTCAAGTTCCCTATTCCTGACCTAGACCTATGCCAGGAACTCAGGCCTGGGTGGAAGGCAGCATAAAGGTCCCTGGTGCCAGGAAAAGAGACGGGTTGAACAATGGAAGGGGCACTGAAGAACCCTGAGGCAGCTGGGGTGTTACAGAAAGAGACCTAGCCTTGGAAGTCAGGATTACCTGAATCCGAGCAGCCCCACTAAGTAACTGCAGAATTCTAGATGAGTTGTTTCAACACTTTGGGCTTCTTTTATCCCATCTATAAAATGGGCATCCTTAAAGAACCCAAGAAGACTGTGAAGAAGAGTGAGGGAGACAGGACATGTACAATCTTTGGTAGGCTCATATGTGCCTCTTGGAGAGGCGGCATTATTATCCTGGATAGAGAGTGGCCTCTGAGAAAGGAAAATGTGGGTTCTAGTCCTAACACTGACACACCCTGGCTGTGTGACCCCAAGACAAATCCTTAAAGCACTCGGTGCTTCAGGCATCTCCAAGCCTAAATTGGAGAGAAGGTGCCAAATTGTATTGGTAGTTCCAAGTTCCCTATACAGTGAAATCACAGGTTCCGTTCCTATCCCTATTAAAATGTAAAGTCCGGAAGGATAGGGTCTATCCTCTCACTTTTGTCTTAGCATCCTAAGAGGTGTTTGACAAAGGCTGGTGTATTTGAATTACTATTGTTGGAATCCTAGCAACCCATGGAGGTGACCTTGGGTTCTCCGAGGCTTTACCCGTTCTTTCAAAACTGGAGGGAAAGCCCAGCTCAGACATGAGACCAGGATTCTGCTTCTAAAAGAGGACTTTTTTTATTTTAAAGGAAGTGTAAGATGACAATTAGACTATTTCACTGGAACCAGCCCTGCTCAAAGAGTTTCTTTAAACCGAGGGTCCCAGGGGCAGCTAGGTGGCGCAGTGGATAGAGCACCGGCCCTGAAGTCAGGAGGACCTGAGTTCAAATCCAGCCTCAGACACATAACACTTACTAGCTGTGTGACCGTGGGCAAGTCACTTAACCCCATTGCCTAGCCAAAAGAAAAAAATAAATAAACCGAAGGTCCCAGGCAGAATATAGAGCCCATTGGCAAAAATTCACCTCAGGGGACACTGTAAAATCAAGGCACACCCGATGGTTTGATCTGGAAAACCTCCAGGTCACAGCCTTTTAAAATGAGGAAGCAGGGGGTGCAGTTTCCTCCATGGGATCTGGGGGGGTGGGACAAGACCTGGGATTCCACCCTAGAAATAACACGGGGACTGGCTGTCACGGTTGGACGGTGGGAGTATCTCCCCCTTCCCTTAGCGGCTAGCCCCTTCCTCTGCTAGTCCCTCCATTCTACGTCAAGCGTATTTGTTTGTATGGTACAGTTGGAAGTCACTAACTCGCCTTGCAGCGAATGACCTCCCCTTCCACCCATAATTATCCCCCACCCCAACGGGAATGAGAAAACTGAAGGCCTGAGAGGGGAAACAATGTGTCCATCCTCACAGCTCCAGCATCTCCCTGGGATGAGGGCCCGGATGTCACGGAAGGCCGGGGGGAAGAAACAAGGCACATCAAGGTGACCCTAATAGACATACGCCATCCCTAGAGTGAAGGAATCTCGGACAGAAATGCTTTGGAGAGCGGGGACGCTCGAATGCAAAGTGCACGAGGTCCAGGGCTCCAGCCCCAGCACCTGTGACTGTGGCCAAGCCTCTATCCACCTCCCTCGCCTCAGTCTCCATATCTGTACAGAGGCACATGTAATGCATTAGTAAGGGCAGGGCGCTCTGAAAGCTCATCTGACCTGCATAACTGGGGTGTGTGCCCCTCGTTTTCTTGCCTTGGGAAGCGGCAGGTTCGGTTAAATCCTATTATCCACGAACCTCCTAA